CCCCCCCCCCCCCCCCCCACAGACCGTCACCGACAGGTCTCCAAAACCCGTTCCAGACCGTCTCCGACAGGCCCAAAAATCCAGTCACAGACCGTTAAGGAACTCATACTTCGATCAAAAGATTCAAACGTCATAGAGTGCAAACTACTACCAGTTAAGGTTCATAGGTTTAATACTCTATTTGCAGTAAAAACATCTACAGCGGACGTATTTGCTATTAAGCTAACTGTTCCATTCTTTTTGTAAGACAGGACTTGCAGAAAGATATTAAAGGGTTTTGGAAGACAGAAGGATTTTTCGCTTGCCTTTTGGTACGCATGTAACCTATAACCCGTCTGTCCTGGAGTTGTTATTATACTTGACCATAATTCACTGTTTTCTGTAACGACGTGCACCTAAAAAATGACGAGTGAGAGCTTGTTAGGAGAAAATCCAAATAAACTGTGTGTCATTGTCTCACAGACAGGTTCGTTCTCAACTTCGTTACACTGACGCGCGTAAATCGCGTCAAAGATCGTGATCGGCTAATGAAAGCGCATTAAGAAGCATCACATATTTGTGACTGATGAAGCAAGAAATTCCTAAAAAGCAGCGGACATCGCTATTGGCAATCATATGCTATTTTCAACTGCATAAGTTGAAATAAACAGGAATGTAGACCGCGAAATAAATTGACCAGTATGTGTGCTTAAAGTTTCTCCAGGTGGATCGTGTTTCACATTTTTCAATCCCGTTAGGGATTGCTCTGAAAGCGTTTTTACTCTAGATCGCATTAGGATGTAGCAATATTTTTCGAAGATAAATGACATATTACAAGTCTCAAAAACAAAATTTGTCGAGAATTTCACTTGGAGAAATTTTTTATTTGTGATTTCGAAATAGTGTGATGTTTACAAATGGACTGTTCTAGACGTTTCAGCATGTTTCAGACTATACTTATGACGCACTTTGGTTTTAAAGAAAAGTTTTTCCATTAAAAGCCTCTTGCAGCAAAGGGCACCGTTGGCTGGTTTTACCTATAAGCGAAAGCAGGTGCGCATTCTACTGACAAACCAAAACGTCAGAAAAAAATCTGTCTTTTAACACATTGTATTCTAGATATTAAATACTTACTTAACAACTATTTCTATACTTTTCCTCATAATACAAAAAAATGTAGCAAAATCTGACTAATGCAGACGAAAAGTTATAGGGGTCTTCTGATGTCGGGATCCTTTAATATGCCCATGGCTTTACATTTTGATCTTTAATTTTATATTTGTACTGAATATTATCAATATTGTTCAGTCTACTTACCATTGAGAAATTATCATTGAGAAATGAAAAAAAACTAATTTCATCGTTCATTCTTTGTTCTTTTCATATATAAAGTATGTTAAAGTCAAGCTTTATTTACTTTATCTTATTACTCTGTAAAAAAAACCGGGTCATAGTAAACCTTTTTTCGGTACCATTTTCAGAACCTTTTTTGGTTTAATCAAAAAAATCTAGAACCTAAAAGGATCTGAAAATAAGGTTCTGAAGATGGTACCCAAATCTAGAACCATAAAAGGTTTTAGACGCTAGCTAAAACCTTTTATGGTTCAGTATCGCCCGGTTTTTTTAGAGAGTATACGCTGTTTTTTCTTTTTTTTTGCCAAATCTAGCATATAGTTCCAGCCCATAGCAAGGACCTCAATTCAATGAGTGGCTGGTGCTTATAATCTATGGTCAACGTACATTATTAGTGTATATAAAGCTCGCATATATGATCACATCTAGACGGGGAAAATTTTACGACAAACTAGCAAAAAATTATTTGAGCTATAACGACTGGAATTTCGTGGCCTCACAAAAA